CTCAGTGTCTGCCATAATGTCTCCCAATGTCCCTTAGTGTCTCAGTGTCTGCCATAATGTCTCCCAGTGCCCCTTAGTTTGTCAGTGTCTGCCATAATGTCTCCCAATGTCCCTTAGTGTCTCAGTGTCTGCCATAATGTCTCCCAATGTCCCTTAGTGTCTCAGTGTCCCCATGTCTCCTTGCAGCCTATCCCCCCATCCCTCACTTCCCTGAGCTGTAGGCTGTCTCTGCAGGGTGAGAGTTGCTGTCTGGACTCTCTGTAGCTGCACCCCTGCAGATCAGTGAGTATAGATAGGCAGGGAGGGCTATGCTGGAACTTCCTATCCCTGTCTGTCTCAACACACAGCAACCCCTACTGGCCAGTGCTGGTATTGCATAGTAATCTCTTGTTTATACAGAGAAAAATACCAGCATTTGTATTGCCAGTATCACTGCAATTGGCACCAGCCAGGCAGCCTCAAATACTGGCTGTGCCAATCAAATAAAAGCCATGTGGAATACCTAAGAGTAGTGTGTAAAAAAAAATAAAAAAATGTTAAAAAAAAATTTTTTTTTTTTTTTTTTTTTAAATCAATGGGCCTATTCCATGAGCCTGGGCCTGGAGCTGCAGCTCCATCAGCCCCTATGTTAATCCGGCCCTGCCTAGGGGAGTGTCCACCAGGTGGGAGACCTGCATAAATACTGGGCAGGTAGCCCTCATTAAACAGACCACTGCTTGACCCTCAACACGGAGCCTTGTCTCGTCTTTGGGGGGATTTACTGAATGCTGATAGAGACTGATTGCTAGGAGTGTAAGCCGCTTGGATGCTTTTCCTATTCGTCTGCTTGCAGCGATTCGTATGGTTCCAGTTCGTGAGTTTGGAGTGTTACATTGTATGCTGTTCTGGAGTTTGGAGCATTCCCTTACATGGGGTTCGTGAGTTTGGTGTTCTACAGTAGCTGTGCCTGCATCTCTGAAAGGGGACGATCGCCTAAACGGTTTTAACCCCTTGTGTGCTGAAACGGTCCGTTACAGGTAGTGTTTTGGCGGTTGCCTGTCGGTGTTGCCCTTGGGGCGGTATGGGGTTTTCCTTTTGGGCCCCCATTAATGGTGGCTTGTGCAATCAGGCCCCGTAAGTCCCTTCCACTGACTTCCACCTGTTGCCGCTGCAGCGGGTTTTGGGGGCCTATTTGGGGTTTTTCCATGGTGTGCTGACTCTTGCTCAGTAAGCTGGCAAGCATCGGGGCTCTTGCAGACTCTGGGAAAGGTAAGTTGGTAGCGGTTGGCTGATTCATCAATAGAATCTGTTTCATTCTTGGATGTTGCAGGGTTGACATAACCGGGCCCTTTCTGCTTTCTCTTGAGGTAGATGGAATGCACAGGGTAATGGTTAGGCTCCTAACAGGATGTACTAGGTTCCCAGGATAGTTGGAAATATACCTTTCCCATTGGGGGGAGTGCCGGGTTCCGACATGTGTCCTGTTTTCCTTCAGTGAGGGCTATTCCGCCCCTGGGTTATTCGGCCTCCTCTCCCCTTGTTTGGTTCTCGAAGCCGGGTTTTCTCGCCTGCGTCCATGTCGTTGGGGTGCTCCAATTGGGGATAGAATTCCTGGGTAAGGATGGTGGAGAGTTCAGGGGGCATTCAGTCCGGTTAGGGGCGGCTACAGACGCCGCCACGCTGGGCGTGCTTGTGCCACTGGTTCAAAGGGCTTGAATGGTAGGGGTTAGGGTGGTAGGTTCCTTGGGTTCACCCTGCCGGTCTCCGAATGGATTTCTCTCCGCGGTTACTGTCTCCTCTCCCTCACCCCCGGAATAAGGAGGGTGGGATGTTCATATGTCATTGGGACAGAAGGCGGGGGGCGAGTGGTTGGATCTTACGCCTTCAGGAGCGGAGGTTCGGTGATCTGGTGCCAGATACATGAGGGGGGTGTGGCTTCTCCTCATCCTGAGTCAGCTGTCCCGCCTCCTAGGGGTACTGGGGGTTTTGTCATCTGTCTGGTTGGAATGACCTGGGTTCGATGACTGTTTGGGATTTGGGTGCTCTTACATCTGGACATGTTACGCATTCTGTTTCTTCCCAGAGGTTCTCAGGGGCCAGGCTGAGGCTATCGCCCGTTCCTGTTGGCAGTGCGCTCAGCAATGGGAGTGCCCTGGTGCGCTGCCGTCGGGAATTGGATGATATGGGTTTCTAGGTTTGTCTTGGGGGCTTGGGGGATTCCAATTCGCCTTAGGGTTTGGCCGGATGTGGCATAGTTGTCTCAAGGCAGGCCCGGACTGGCCATCGGGCACACCGGGCAAAAGCCCGGTGGGCCGCGGTGGCCGTGGGCCGCGGTGGCCATGGGCCAAGGCCGGCAGGGGAGGTCTCGTGATCTCCCCTGCCGGTCTATGCAGGGCCGGCACTCTCCTAGCGCCGGCCCCGCTGTTTGCCACGACGGGCCAGTAGGGAGATCAAAGCTCTCCCTCACCGGCCCAAATGCGGCCGCCGGCGGGTAGAGAGTGAGGGAGACAGCCGCCAGGAGAGGAGGACCCTAACTTGAAGCTCCGTCGGGTTCCTCTCGCGAGATCCGGCGCGTTGCCATGGCAACAACCGGATCTCGCGAGAGTGAACTCTAGCCCCACAGGCTAGAGTTCACTCACCCACGAGGACCACCAGGGAACACCGCTACCCAGTCACAGCGTGCCGTGCCGGCTAAAGGTAAGAAGGGAGGGGGGGATTTAATGCCTGTTTTTTGTTTTTATTTACCCCCCCACACACACACAATCCATTCTAACATTTATACAGCACTCTCACACCCATCACACACAGCACTCTCTCACCCATCACACACAGCACTCTCTCACAGCACTCTCACATCCATCACACACAGCACTCTCACACACAGCACTCTCTCACACCCATCAAACACAGCACTCACACACAGCACTCTCACACACAGCACTCTCTCACACAGCACTCTCACACCCATCACACACACGGCACTCTCACACACACGGCACTCTCACACACACATACTGCACCCCTCACACACAGAACCCCCCCCCAACACACTGCACCACACACATACACAATACTTCCAAATATATATATATATATATATATATATACATATATATATATATATATATATTTATACACACACACACACACTACACTCTTAACATACACACTCTGGATCCCCTATACACACACTAGATTCCTTGTAAGCAAACACATACTACACCCCTATATACACACACACACACACACACACACACACACACTATAGCCTGTGTGCACACACTTGCTATATCCCCAATACACACATTCTCTACAGCCCATAGCCACATATGCATCACATTACACCACTTTACACCACAAACACAACATGACTAAAACCAACCTTATTAGACAATACCACACCACGACCAGCTCACTCTGCACACACGCAATACCACAAGCAGGCTCCAAACACATGCACAATACTCTTTCCTGGCCCATTTGTCTCCTGGTATCAATTTATAGAGACACCAGAGACAAGTTGCAAGGAAACACAGTGCAAGCATGTTATTAAATTTGCTTGCACTGTGCAGAACAAATACAGGACTTTTTTCTCATGCTAGAGCTCTTCAGCAGAGCTCTGCGCATGGTCTGCCCTGGAAGAGCATTGAACCAACATGCTCACTTTGAGAGGAGGTGTGTTTGTCATTGGTGATGACAAAACACACCCTCTCTGCCCCGCCCCCTTCCTAGTGGGCCGCTGTGTTAAAAAAATGCCCGGGCCGAATTTTTCTCCCAGTCCGGCCCTGTCTCGAGGGGATGGGTGCGCTTGCTGGAGGTCGGACGAGGCCTATGTTAATGGTGCACTGAGGAAGACTCCGGCTGGAGTTGAAACGCGGTTGCTGCTAGACCAAAGTATTGTATCTGGGGCTTTTTCTTATTTACTCTGCAGTGTTTTATTTAGGCTTTTTGCCTAGTATATTTTACTATTTATACACTGCTTATTGTCCCTGTTTTAATTGTTTATTTGTTCAATAAATTTTGGATTCTGCACTTTCTATCCTGTGCTGCTCCCCTCAAGGATATCGTTTTAGCTATTTTAGGCACCCTCCTGCATATTATATAGAGCCTGGGATGGCTTTCAATCCTGTGAGTTTTACTCTACATAAGAGGTCTATCATTATATATATACATTTGGCACTATGTTATGTTATTTGTGTTTTTTGGATTGATCCCGAATTGTCATTTCGTTTACTGGTGCAGTATTTATTCTGTGTTAATCTAGCACTGCAAAAAGTGGTGCAACAGGCCATGGCTGGTTATGGTGGGATCCCCCGCTGATTTTAGGTGTAAAACAGCGGGGTTGTGGTGGGGGTATGTCCTTGTCAATTGAGTTTGAGGGGTTACGTTTAAGTATATGGAATGAGAGGAACAAGTTTTTAAGGTCTCAACCTCCCCTGCTTCAAACGGTTAACAGTAGGTTGACTGAGGTGTCGTGCCCATCGAGCATGGATAAGGTCAGCTGATAGCAGGCATTGGAAAGACATGATTTTTATGACGAGGAGGGAGGTGAGAGGAAGTGGTGATTAGGAACCACTGTATGTTTATTGGCAAGGACGGTTGGGTCACTGTATAACACTATGTGTAGAGTTATATATGTATATATGTTAATTTATGCTTATTTATGTCTAACGTTTTTGGTTACAGAAAAAGAAGAGATTTAATAAATAAAGTTATGGATGTGTTATGCAGTAATTTAGTTTGTGATAATAAATGCTGTGGCCTGTTTCATCCATACTAAGTGGTCTGTCATTATTGGGGGGGTTGAATGGGGTTAGTTATGTATTAGGCTGCATCGTAATTCCCCACTATGTACATACATGAATTATTTAGTGAGACATGGAGGTGAGACGGTGTTTTATTTCTTGAACATGTCACTTCAGTTGCGGCCTGACAAACACCTCTTAGGCAGTCAAAGCATTGTTCACTCTTTCACCTTTGTTGAACCATTAAATCTGCCTGTGGCTTGAAAACCTTGACTGCCTGGAGACTTTCTTTTTGTCTGCCTGATCGTTGTGGGATTGCCGGTCCTGCTCCAGTGCTCTTGGTGTTTGCTGGGATTGCGGCTCCTCTCTTCCTTTTTATAATTCAGCTATGGCTGCGTCACCAGAAGTGATGCGTAATCAGCAGTTTTGATCCGATTCAACATGCTATGCATGCACAATATACATGTATGATCCTTCGACCGTCTCTCTAACACTCTGGCACTCAGCCATATACACACACCTTGGGTCAGACAGCCATATACACACACCTTGGGTCAGGCAGCCTTATACACACACCTTGGGTCAGACAGCCACATGCACACACCTTGGGTCAGACAGCCATATACACACACCTTGGGTCAAGCAGCTGTATACACACACCTGGGGTCAGGCAGCCATATACACACACCTTGGGTCAGACATCCATATACACACACCTTGGGTCAGGCAGCCGTATACACACACCTTGGGTCAGACAGCCACATGCACACACCTTGGGTCAGGCAGCCATATACACACACCTTGGGTCAGTCAGCCATATACACACACCTTGGGTCAGGCAGCCATATACACACACCTTGGGTCAGACAGCCATATACACAAACCTTGGGTCAGGCAGCCGTATACACACACCTTGGTCGACAGCCACATGCACACCTTGGGTCAGGGCAGCACACACACACCTTGGGTCATCAGACAGCCACATGCACACACCTTGGGTCAGGCAGCCATATACACACACCTTGGGTCAGGCAGCTGTATACACACACCTGGGGTCAGGCAGCCATATACACACACCTTGGGTCAGGCAGCCATATACACCCACCTTTGGTCAGGCAGCCGTATACACACCTTGGGTCAGGCAGCCGTATACACACACCTTGGGTCAGGCAGCCATATACACACACCTTGGGTCAGGCAGCCATATACATACACCTTGGGTCAGGCAGCCAAACACACACACCTTGGGTCAGACAGCCGTATACAGACACCTTGGGTCAGACAGCCATATACATACACCTTGGGTCAGAGTCAGACAGTGTTTGAATCAGACAGTTAGTCTCTATGGTCATTCTGGCTTTACTCTTTGCAAAGAAACATGGAAGACCATAGAGACTAGCTGTCAGTTACCGAACGTTGGCTGACACAAGGTGTGTGTATATGGCTGAAGGATCATGTCATACACTAAAAGTAGGGAAAGCATTTTCTTTTTTTTTTTACATATACTTCATTTAAAATAAAATAACAAAGCTCCTTTTGAAGTTGATGAAAGGATTTGAGGTGACAGTTGTCCTTTGTGTGTAATATTGCCCCACTCAAACAATAACTATTAACACGGCCATTACAGTAACATACAGGGGAGAGACAGACTTTTGCAGAATAACACGGTTTTAGCAACACGTTTGGCTGCACACATTTTATTGTCATTGCATTGTGAGTGCTGCTATTAATTATAGTTGTTATAATAACCATAACCACTATAGTAGTGGGAGTAACCGTACGGGTATGTCACTGTAGTATAAATCACATATGCGATCCAAGCAAGGTTGCCAGCGATTCCCAGTCCCAGAGACACCATGTTTAGTTTAAACGCTGTGCGCGAATCACTTGCTGCTGAAATCATGTCACCGCGTCTCAGTGATTCCCGCACCTGAGAGAATAAAAAAAGCCATGTTACTGATTATAGTTATGTTTGGTATTAGTCAGCGCGGCATGCTTTACAGTAATGCAGAATAATTAGATGGACACAGAACTAGCGAGCAGACCTTAGGGATGAGCGTAGGAGAATGTATTTTAAATATGAAATTATGTCACTAATCACACTCTTATTTATCATTTGTTCATTCATCTTTTATGTGAAATTAGCAATTTTATAGCGTGAAATCTAACTGAAATAGTAGAACTGTCAAGCGCAATATGTGACATTGTATATAAAATAAAAAGGTGCACACAAAAACAGCAAGGTGAAAGCAGGCTCTTACACTTAAGTGAAGGAATCCCTTAACCTTCACAACACAGAACATGCAAATAGAACAAAGTTTAAGTGGAGCTCTGGTTTACCTGTACAAACAGTAGTATAATATAGGTGAACAAAAATGCTATTGCAATAATTTGCAAATAAATAACAGTAAATCTTAGTGCAGACGGTAAATGAGAGATAAATTGTAGATGGGTAACTCACAAAAGTAGAGCCAATAACACACTTGGCTCTAGTGGTAAGCGCCTCAGGATCTTCTAAGGGAGATCCACCACCCTCTTTTTGTTTCCTCCTGATGTCCTCCACCTTGAATTTAAGTAGGAATGGAAAGGGAAACTCCAAAAGACGGTATAAACAAAATTTATTGTATTAAAAGTAATCAATATAAAATTAAAGATTAAAATCGAATTGATAAAAAATCATAAAACGAATCCAAAACGCGTTTCGCCAATAGCTGGCTTCTTTAGTTGGTATAATAATTACTGCGTCCTCTTGTTCTTTTATAGGTCCCTAATGATGTGATTGCCGGCATCTGCCGAACCGGAAATTCGCTCTGTGGAACACACACAGAGCTTGTTGGAACGCACGTGCATACGTGCGTACGTAGATCATGTGATTCGGCTGCTTTACTTCCTTTTTCTTCGTGGAACCCAACACATGTGTTCCACTACCTTGAATCATAGGATCCGGCTATTTTACTTCCTTATTCTTCGTGGAACGCACCACATGCGTTCTACTGCCGGAATACATATTGTCCATCACAAAAGTCTTTAGATAAACTGTCCATTAAATCTCAAATAAGCCAAAAGAAGGGAAAAAAAACCAGATAAATAAAATATTTATAACACAGAAAAAAAGAACATTATGGGCAACATCATTGATAGATATATTGTTAACAATGTAATGTTACTTATTGAATATAAATAATAATAATTAGCCCTTACAATTATGAAAAGTAATTGAAATGGAAATGGATAAAAATCTGGAAGGGTAGAGGGAGAATAATGCAATATATGATTGACCATTTGATATTTTTTCCAATATTATAATTAAAAGAGAAGAGCTCGAAAAGAAGGGGAATATTTATAATAAGAAATGACACAGTTCAAAGTCCAAATTCAATCCATCAGGGACCATAGTATTAAAATTAAAGATAAAAGTAATTTCTTCTATCCCAATTTTCTTTATAAAATCTCCACCCCTCCAATTTTTTTTAACCAATTTGAGTGCACAAAACATAAGACCCTGTGGATTTTGATGGTGATAATGTTTAAAATGTTGAGAAACGCTGTGTGTATCAACTCCTTTTTTAATGTTTCTCACATGTTCCGAAACTCTGACATGGAGACACCTAGTCGTCCTCCCTATATACATTTTATTGCACGAAAAAATTAATAAATAAATAATATTCTTAGAGAAACATGTCAATTGGTCTCTTATTGTGAACTCTTTATTAGTAATTTCGTTCGTATTCTTTATGTGTCTTTTTTTGCTTATTGTTTCCCTACATGCAGAGCACGTTCCACACCCATAAAAACCTTTACTTTTTGTCAAGAAATTATCATTTTCGTTCTGATGATTTTTTAAATTACTATTTACTAAAAAATTATTTATATTCTTGCATCCCCTATGTACAATTCTAGGTCTCTCTGGTAATATTTCTTTAACCCCTTAAGGACTGGACTGTTTTTGCGATGTTGTACATTTGCGACCAGGAATATTTTTACACTTTTGTGGTGTTTGTGTTTGGCTGTAATTTTCCGCTTTCTCATTTACTGTTCCCATACAAATTATATATTGTTTTTTTCAGGACAAAAGGGGCTTTCTTTACATACCATTATTTATATAATCTCATGTATTTTAATTTAAAAAAAATACAAAAATCTGATGAAAAATTGAAAAAAATACATGTTTTTGACTTTTACTTGAAAAATCTTTTACTCATCTACAAAAGCGAATGAAAAAAACTGCTAAATAGATTCAAAATTTTGTCCTGAGTTTAAAAATACCTAGTGTTTACGTGCTTTTTGCATGTTATAGGGCTATAGGTACAAGTAGGATATTGCGGTTTCAAAACATACATTTTTTAAAATTTATCAATAGTGACATTGTAACACTATTATCTGTCATAAATCTCTGAATAACACCCCACATGTACATATTTTTTTTAAAGTAGACAACCCAGGGTATTCAATATGGGGTATGTCCAGTCTTTTTTAGTAGCCACTTAGTCGAAAACACTGGCCAAAGTAAGCATTCATATTTGTTTGTGTGTGAAAAAAGTAAAAAAACGAAATTGAACGCTAATTTTGGCCAGTGTTTGTGACCAAGTGGTTACTAAAAAAAAGACTGGACATACCCCATTTGCAATACCTTGGGTTGTCTTCTTTTGCAAATGGTATGCCATCATGGGGGTAATTCTCATTCCTGGGCTACCATACGCTCTCAAAGGCAACGTAACCAACCTGGCCATTTTCAATGTAAAAATATTTGACCCAAATATTTGACCTTGTAACTTTCTAAAATGCTATAAAACCTGTACATAGTACTGTTTTACCTGGGGAGACATCAAGGAACAACACAAATATTAGTGTTTAAAACTGGAAAAACGTATCACACAATTATATCATCATCAGTAAAACTGTTGTTTGTGTGTGTGTGAAAAAAAGTAACTTTCACTGACAATATCATCGCTGTGATATAGTTTTACCGTTTTGAATCACTAATATTTGTGTTCAAAGAAGTCTCCTGAGTAAAAACAGTACCCCCATGTACAGGTTTTAGTGTCGTGAGAACGTTACAGGTAAAATACAGTGTTAGCAAATTAAATTCTCGGAATTTCGGCATGGGTTGCTATGGCAGGTCCCCTTGCAACTGTAAATTGGCCAAAATTATTTAATGTAAAAATATTACATAGAAATACGCACGAATTTAAATATATATGCATATTTATATATTTGAAGTCTACGTGTATATTTATATAATTATTTATGTAATTTTGTATATGGACGTATGTATATTTCTTATTATTTTTATTTATTTTTATACATAGATATATATAAAAATTAATTCTAAGTGTATTTTGATATAAATATATATATATTAATTTTAAAATACAGTTAGAATAAAATTTCATATAGCTATATAATTTTTTTTAAATTTTTTATTATTATTTTAAAAAATTTTTATTTAATTTAAATTACTTATTATTTATATTTTATAATAATATATATATACAATATATATAGTTATTATATATATTATATATATAAGTGTGTAATTTAATTATAAGTGTATTTTTATATTAATATAAGTACATATTAATATAAAAATACACTTAGTATGACATTATATATATATGATATATAGACATATATTATATAGGTATAATATATGTCTATATATCATATATACACATATATAATTTTTTTTATTTTTTTTATTAACACTAACTTTAATTTATTTTTTGATTTTACACATGCAGGGAGACTGCCTGTCAGTACAGGCAGTCCCCCTGCAGGCAGCACTATGGACACCTATTGTGACCATGTGATCGCTCTGTTGAGCGATCACATGGCCACAGGGGTCCTAATCTGCCGTGGGGAGACTGTCTGGGCTGCAGGCAGTCTCCCCACAACCGGAGCCACGCTGATCGCCGCCGGGGGAACGACGGCGATCAGGTAAGTAGCTCTGACCGTTAGGACGGTTCAGGACCGTCATCGGTCGGCAATGCAAAAATGCCGATGACGGTCCTGAACCATCCTCGGTCCTTAAGGGGTTAAGAATTGGGTCATCTTGCAATAAGTGCCAATACTTATTAATGGCATACCGTACTTTCTTATTATTGGCGGAGAAGTTACAAATAAAAGGAATATTACATTAATTGTCTTCTATCCTTGTTTTTTTCTTTTTATATATTAATAATTCTTTTCGTTCTAATCTTTTCATTTCTTCTATGATCTTTTGGAGATCTTCCTCTTTATATCCTTTTTCTAAGAATTGATTTTTAATTGTCTGAGTTTGTCTTAGAAAATCTTTATCTTTTGTGCAATTTCTTTTTAACCTCATAAACTGGCTCTTGGGTGCATTCGTAAGCCACGGGGTGTGGTGACAACTAGTGAGATCAATATATCCGTTGCAGTCCACTTCTTTAAAATAATTTTTTGTGAAAATATTCCCCTCTTCTATAAAAACAGTGAGATCCAAAAAATTAATTTCTACTTTGCTTTGGGTAGAAGTGAGGCTAATTCCCCAATCGTTGTAATTTAAAAAGCTTAAAAAATTGGCCAAATTTAAATCATCTCCCTTCCAAATAAAAAATATATCATCAATGTAACGGCGATAGGTGACCAAGTTCGCAAAAAATTCACTATGTAAAATAAATGTCTCTTCCCAATACGCCATAAAAAGATTTGCGTAACTAGGTGCGAACTTAGTCCCCATCGCCGTTCCATTGATTTGCAAATAAAAACTATCTTTAAACCAAAAAAAGTTATTAGTCAAGATTAAAAATATGCCTTCTTTAATAAAATGTATCTGTTCTTGTTTAAAATTTGATTTTTCTAAAAAATATTGCACTGCCTCTATTCCCTTCGTATGTGGAATTATACTATAGAGTGAACTTACGTCACAGGTAACCAATGTGTAATTTTCTTCCCATTTAATGTCTCCTAAAATCTGCAGGATATGTATTGTGTATCTATCAATGATGTTGCCCATAATGTTCTTTTTTTCTGTGTTATAAATATTTTATTTATCTGTTTTTTTTGTCCCTTCTTTTGGCTTATTTGAGAT